CTTCTACTAGTATTCTATATTTATGTATCTACGAGTATTCCTGTATAAAAAGTAATAAAATTGGATAAGCAAAATTATTTATACATTTTTAAATATAATTATTATTATCAAATTGAGAATCGATTTAAAATTAGTAAATATATTAATTTTCAAAAACAAAAATTAAAAATACTTAGAGGCGGAAGAGAATTGTGTGGTAAAAAATTATATTATACTCACGAAAACAAAATACTTTACTAGATTTTCGAAAGACAAATAAGTAAATATAGACTACATTTTTATTTAGATGATTCAGGTGAAAAACAAAAATGTAATAAGTCATTTACAAAAATGACTTATTACATTTGAACGTTCCAAATGGACGTTTCAAACATCGTTTGAAGTAAATTACGCTGTCCCAAACGCTCCCCTAAAAAGGCGTTACACTTGTAATCGCTTAAATATGCGCACAAGGCGTTCGTTAGGAAAATGAGTGGAGCCACTGACTTGAAAAGTAAACTGTAATTTATTAAACACGCGCCTTAAATAGCTCAGGGTTGTAAATTTTATTACACTCAACTATAATGACATACTTTGGAGAACTTTATTTTATTTATATAAAATATCTGTATTACATATGTACTTCTTGTTTTTAATAGAATAAATAGAATAAAAAGAGTTATGAAATTGATTATTAATAGACGTACTACTAAAAATACCCACATTTTTATAGGTTTATTCAGTAACTTTCTGGAGATGTTAAACCACTATAATCCTTCGCTATGCGAATATCGTTTAATAATTATAAAGCAACTTGTGAGAACTTCATGGACTTAAAAAACGATGACGAACCATATATTTTATGAAGTTATCTTTATGTATGATATTATTACTTTATATTTTATTGCAGAACTTGTCTACCATAAAAAACAGTGGAAGACAAATTATTTCTATCATGGAACATTTTGTTGATACTTTTTTTTGAAATATGATATCAAGCAGAAGAAAGATTACTAAAACATACCAAACGTCAACAAATAGAATAATGCAAACAAATCATCAAGTTTGTATCGGTATGAAAATATGGTAATGCCATGCTATTTTGCACGCTGCGTAGCGAACAGTGAACGTGCGAAAGTGATAAATTTAGGTAACAGTGCCCTGAATTTGCGTCGGTGCAAATCAACCGAAATATTGTATGAGATTGAATTTCGTTGCGAGAAATTACTCAGTCGTCGCACACTGATGGCTTCAACCCTTCATATTTGTCATGAAATGTTTATGATTAATAGCCAACGTTTTTCATTTCCACCCTGACGTAATATAGTTTTGTAATTTGTTTGTATTTACGAGGTCATGTGTTTCTTTTTTATATTGTGTGTCTTGAAAATTTATGATGGTTGTCACAACGCACACGATCTATTTAACTAGTAATTACGACTGTATATGAAATACGTAAATAACTACTTTAATATAGAGCATTTCCCATGCAACTTTTAATATATTTTGTTAAATTGTGCCTGAGTTCATAATTACTGGAGTCTACCCAAGGATCATTAGTCTCTTAAACGCGGATTAGATGAAACTTTTTATCTTAAACAAAGTTTTGCCAAGTTTACACAAATGCAACCATTGATTTGGTTCTCAAGTTTGTTCTTGTTTTAGCATAATAAAAAATCGTTGAAACTAGTGGGAAGCATATAATGTCATACTTATATGTGTAAATGAAATATTACTTCTTTCTTCAATATATTTCTATTCCTAGGATTAAATAATATATAAGAATCCAAATATAATCTCTCATTTAGAATGACAAAGTAATAAAAACCCGGATAATGTGAATGTAGCTCTTTTTTACATAGATATAAAAGATATCATCTTAATACATCTGATTTCTTAAATAAAATTTTACAATTTCTAAAATGATTAAAAAAATACCGTTATAGCAATGTATGTAAAAATCGTAACAATGGATTATTACTAATTGAGATTATAGGATTACTAATTTATGTTTCAATTTGCTGAAACTAGAATGTATTACGCTATATGATCAAATAATATAATTTGGTTACATGCCCATTTGGTCATATTTCAACATTAATGAAAATACAACGAAATTAATTCCATCCTGCACGTTTTAGTTCATATTACAATATGTGGTTACCTGTAATCTGTATTAGAATGACTGAATATACCTCAATTTAATAGTTTCTGTATAATATAAATAAACAAATAGGTTTGTATATAAGCTCTATAAATCCTTCAAACACATAACTAATATTTACTTAATGTTTTAAAGATGACTGGCACCTCAAGTAATTGGACAAAGTTATTTTAATTAAGCTGGACACAGCTATGTACTCATTTAGGATATGAGATAAGCCACAACAAGCCACGAAGCATTTGATCCTGGCTGCACACGATTCTCATAAATAGTACTTGAAATTACAATGGAAGATTGCTTTTATACAATTAAGAGGGTCTAATCTGAAGGGAATAATTGGAATTTATTTTGACCCGGTTTCATTTCCCTTTACTTTGTAATTGCATTAAAGTGCATGGTTCAGTGAGTTTCTCGTCAAAGTTAGAAGCCTTTTTGAATATTAAAATATTACGGATAATGTAGAAGCTTTCATTTAATTGGGAGATTAATTATTTTTACTGAAAACTTTGGATAAATTTCATTAATCAATTAGATTTATTGAATAATTAATTCAAGACTCAGTTCTTCTTCAACTTTAAATTCTCAAAGCTTGTTTATTTGAGTTATGAATTGATTGAATTTTTTTTTTTAATATGATTTCTCAAATGACGTATTTTGATCCTTCTCTTAAGTATTGCATTGGCCTCGCATAATATTGAGTTTGGCCAATACTAGACTGAGATGAGTCTTGTATTCATAGGTCTTTGAAACCGACAACACGATGTGTAAATAATCTTAGCTCTGAAATGTAAAATTGAAATCATTTCACCGTACTTCTGAGTAATACATGTGATATTTATTTAAAATAATTCTTCTTATTTTATGCAAGTAACTTACCAAATATTTATATATATATATATATATATATATTTCTAAATATATATAACTAAAATAACTTCAATAAAATACTAATTATAATACAAATAAAACGAATAATAAATACACCTAGGGATTTATAGTGAGCGCCCACTGAGAAGAAATAGAAGGATTCCTTTTTAGTGCAGAGTTAAAACGGAACAATTTTTTTTTGACGCAGGGAAACTCTATTTGCGAACCATCCAGCCGGCTTTGGTGGGGCCGAAGGGTGTGTGAGACTCAGACTTGGCAGGCCACTACTCACTAAAACCACTGCGATTGCCATCGGCCGCTATGTCGGAGTGCCCCGGATCTGTCAGCGACAGGACACACCAGCGACTGGCCGGTCCTAGCAAAGACCGAACTCACTTCCTCGGAGATTGGGGCATTAAAACGGAACCATAATCCAACTATAACCAACTCAATTCTTCTGTAGAACATTACGGTAGTGGTCCAAAGCATGGTTTTATATCTGTGGAATAAGTCACATACATGTCCAAGAACTAGTTTAGATAGATTTGGATACTTTTATTATTCTTTTCATATCTTGCTCGACATTGGCTGGAAACAATTAAACATTTGACTTGTTAAATTTATCAGAAACAAAGCTGTTATAGGATAAAACTGCGATTTGAAATAATGTCAACAATCAATGAAATAAACTATTTTTTAATCCAGAAACATCGATTCGGCATCTTTTGCTAATTGGTATGGTATGTTATATTAAATTAATAAATAGATCACAGTTACTAATATCTTAACTGCCCCATCAAAGAAAATATTAAATCTTTGCCTTTCGGGCCGTAATTGTCATAGTCTGATGGTGAATTAATTTATTCAAAGGTGCTGTTTATGAATAGTAACATTATTGTAGAGGAGTACTCCGAGAGAAGTCAAAACGATTATTGGGAGCTTATATTAAATGAAATAACATGTAATATACTATAAAATAAAATAACGTCGATACTTTTTATAGCAGCTATGATTTAATAAGCCACATGAAAAAAAAATTATGTTCAGTGGATCGTCTAAATGTTTAATAAAGAGTTCAAAATACAACCTTCTACAATTAATAGCATAAACGTAAACAAATGATACGGTATAGCGATTTTATAATGAAATTCCTTACCGTTGAAAGAGCACTTGATAACAACGTTACCGCAAACATAACATTGTTTGTTGTGAGTGATACGCGTATCGGATTTGTCGACAGAATTCAGTTACACTTTGTACGTACTACTCAGAATTAATTTACTTTAAAATAGCAAACATGTACAGGAACATGTTTTGATGCTTCGTCACTGAGGAACCGAATACACAAACAACGTTATTTAAATATTATCTGAAATTGGAACAGTGTCCTAGAAATGTTAACAGAAATTTGAAACAAACATTGTGTAATACATTATGACTATTAAAGTATGCGGATCCATCAAAATTATCGTGCTATGGCCTTTGTCATAAAGTTTGTCAGGAGTCAGACGGAGTGACAATTGCATTCGGTGCAATAGTGGTTGTTGAAAACTTGTTCAGGACTTATCCTTTGCCGTAACATACAAAACTATTTCAAATGATATTAGTCCAGTTAATTCAGGATATTTTGTAGTTGATAGTTTCTATGAAAGTTTTCTTTCACCATTTGCTCTCAGTGTGCTTTGGTTTCTATGATATTTTGGTATAATACTTTTTTAATTACCAATTTCAGACTTGCGTACGATAGTCTTAGTTTTCCTTTTAAATTTATAAATATATTAAAACTACAAGAACTGTTACTTAGAGATACAAAAAATATGCAAAAAGATTTATTTCAAAAAGTATTTTATATTATGACACAGAAATATTGTTCAGCTAAAGTCCTGCCAGGTTTTACGTCAAATAGACATTTATACAATGAATAAAATTTTTGTGTTGTTTTATTGTTTGTGGGATTTTAATTTTATAAATCAGTCAATTACATCCTAATATGTTAGTTTACAAGGAACCAGAAGAGGAGATTTTGCATAAAATTATAGGCTATGGCACCCTAATAATTGCAGTATTCTATTTTTTCAAATTTATTAAATATATATCGAAGAGTCGTAATTCTGAAGTCTCAAGTGTTAACTCCCGAGCTCGTGTACGCAGTTCACATCGTTCACCGGTGAGAAATATTTTAAATGATGAAAAGAAAGGCAGAAAACGGCAGCGAAGAAAACGTCAGCACAGATATGCTACAGAACAATGGCTTCCAAGAAATGATCCCCCATATGACGTGGAAGATTATGAATAAAAATATTTAAAAAAGGTTTTAATATATAAGCTATACAAACAACGTTCAACTATAATATCCTCATATTAACTTTAGAGCAAGCAATCAAAAGTTTTTAAAAAGAAATTGAGTTTAACAAATTATAAGATACCTAAAAATGTTGAGTCAGTTGCCTCTTCGGATATTTTTAAAGAATACCTGATTCTGCAAGTTTCTTTTTTGTTTGAAAATTTTCAGTACCCCAACTTCACTTTGGACCAAATAGCTGATTCACGACTTATTTAAACTCTAGCTATAGTGTCCTATAAAAATATGGTCTATCGAACTTTAACTCTTAAGGAATTTAAGCTGTGCAAGTATGAGTTGAACGTGACATACGCAATTTAAATTCACAAAATTTTTTTTTATTTCAAAATTGCATTTTCAAGTTGTGTAAACGTAAATGTATGTTGAAATAATCTTTACTGCTCACTTTTTTATAGCATAAAACTTTAGATAATGAAGTAATGAAAATGAGAACATGAAATATGAGAGAGAAAATTATTTTACAGTTTCACACTCGAGCTTATTAGTGTTGAAGAGAAATTGTGCAAAAATTCTCGGCATTTTATAATTTGGTGCTGTGTAACGAAGTAAATATGCTAATTTGCAATTTTTATCCCTCTTTCTATTACTTTAATTTTACTTTATTTATTTTCTATCAGACTAACTAGTGCTTCATGATATCTAGATATTAGATATTTGTTTAAGTGTTATAAAATTTTTATATGTGTTATACATTCCCTATGATAAACTATGTTTTATCATAGGGAATATAAAACTTCGGAAATAAATAGCGAAAAATTGCATCGTCTTGAGGTACAAATAGCCATTTAACGATAATATTTCACCCGACAGCTTGTGTCAAGTGCAAGGAGTTGCGGTTCTGTTATCAGAACGAAGTCAGAACCGCAACCTGTAGTTGACGTCCGATACTAAACTGGCTACTCGACCGACTTGTAAAATTATTTTACATTTGAAATATTCAGAACGTTCACTGTTTATAATATGTATGTATAAAGAAAAAGAATGTAAAATTTATGTAATTTATACCGGTTTTGTAGAAACATTAAAATTATATACAATATTGGCGGTAGTTTTATTAAGGTTTTCCAAGATGATATTTCTGATCGGAGCCGAATTGGACTTGGAGTTTACGATACTGTAAATAGTAGTTACGATACGAAACAAAAGGATTTCTGTCCAGGTCAGATTATGACTAAGTTAGTTAACAAGTTCAGATTCCTTTGGAGATAAGTAACTAACTCCTACCGTACACAAAAACAAATTACTAACTTTAACTAGATAAAATTATTGTACAATGTGTACCAAAGCAAGGGGAAAACAACATTTGGATACCTCATATTGTATGTATGTGTTATCCCTTGACAATCGTCAGCAGTTACAAAATTAGTTTAAGCACATCTGACTTACAAATATCAGTTCGCCAATTTAAACACCTCTTTATGACTTAGAGAAACTGAAATTACTAACAATTGAACTATGTTAAGACATGTAAATTACTTGAAACTTGAACTTTAAAGCTGTTATTTCAACTTATGATCTATTACGTAGTTAGTGATAGTATTACAATTTATTTAGTGTATTTATATGTATTACTAATAAGTTATAAATCAAATAACTATTAGACATTATATGGATTATATCTATATATAAATTATGTTAACTACATTACTTTACTTGCAAATTAAATTAAATTAAATTATAAACTCTTGCTTAGCTTAGTCCAAAGTATGGTTGTTTTAGGTTTAGTAAACCCTATTTTAGAAAACAGGAAAACTAGGATTAACTAGTTCTACTCGACAGTCTGAGCTCTCAGTGTAACAAATTTTGTTACGTACATTAATTATTAAAAAGAAAATAAAGAATAAAAATTTATAATAATCATGAATAAAATAATATAAATTTTATAATGTTGTTTCTGTAAATGTGTGTTTTTATTATATATAATATATACATATATTTATTACGATATTTTTTCATTAAAACTTCTTAAACAATGCTTGTTGAAGAATTATTTAGGTAAAACAAAATAGATTTACAAAGGTTTAATAAAGGATAAGATTGTTGTATTTTAGGTTAATGTATAATTATATTAGAATAAAACAAAAATTGAAAAGTATTAACGACATTTTTTTTGTATATTTTAATACTATATACATAGGGCGAGAAGAAATCATTAAGGTTTGTACATGATCTCTTGCTCACAAGAAACTTGAAACATTCATTGACAAAAAAAATGTGGTGAAAGAAAAAAGGAATAATAGTAATTAATCGTAACAAATAAATTTAATAAATGTTTTTATGAACGTAGTATAGAACCAATGGTATTAAAAGAATCGTTTGTTTAAAAATATTTTTACTTAACGCATTTTAAGTATATTATTCGCAAACATTTTACTGTTTACAATTACTCTGTCACGTTCATTCTTAAAAAATAAATGACAAAAAAGTCCCACTAACATAAAAAGTGTAAATTTTACTCATGATTTCATACTGTAGTATAAAATTACGTTTTGACCCCCAAGTAGTTATATGTATTTACAGATAGTAGTTCACCTTTTCTTATGACCGAGATATTATATATCAAAAACACTCGCTTGCTAGAAAAAGTTTTAATTTTGGCTATAAATTTTACACTATATGAAACGTCAAAAATATTAGAATCTTAAGAAAAAAGGATATCGGAATTAAACATGATCTTTCAAAAACTTAGGATTTAAATTGAAACTAAACACTAAACAAAGCAAAACTTGCGTAACTTCTAAAGATATCTTAGGAATTAGAATATTTTTGAAGTATTATTATTTTTTTTATTCAACTCCATATTGCTTGGCTTATTCCACCTTTTTTTGTAAATTATGATATTGCTTTGTTAGAAGCAAAGTTAATCTTTCTATTACCACTATGATACTCCATAGAAATTTAATTTAACCTCTTGATATAAATGATGTAGCTTACACTCTTATGTTATGAAATCTTCATCAATCTGTGGTATTAAAATTAAAAAATATAGAATTATAAAAGCAAGATTAGACCTTGCCAGCTTCGAAATAAAGCGCCTAATTTACTTTAACACAACAGTAGGAATAATTATAATTTATTACAATTGTCATTTTGTTTTACAAACAACTCTTGAAAGATTTCATCTTAAAGCAGCTGTGACCAAATATTAAAATATTTTTTTTTTTTTTTTTTTTTTTTTATGTTAAAGGTGGCAAACGAACAGACGGCCCACTTGATGGAAGGTGGTTACCGTCGCCCATCGACATCCACAACATTTTGTTGCGGATGCGTTGCCAACCTTGTTTTTTGGCGATAGGGAGGGGAGGGAATAAGGAAATGAAGGGAAAGGGTAGGAATAGGGAAAGGGCAACCGGCTCTCTCACTCATCAGACGAAACGCAGCCGGTAAAGGCTACTTCACGCCGATCTTCTGTGAGAGGGTGGTGCTTCCCCGGTCGAGCCAGCCCATGTTCGAGCTGCAGTAACTCACCACAGCTAGGCTCTACCACCTTTATATGCTAACTTGACTGTAACAACAGTAAAATATTAATAGAAGGATTGCTTTTGTTTCTCTTTTCTTGTTTAAAAATTGATTAAAAATACGTTTATAGCAAAACATATAGAATGGCTATGGTTGCGAAAGCAATATATTTTACACTTTGTTTGTATATAATATGTATGACCATATTTTAGTTTTAAAATAATAAAATCGCTTAGTAATTCGAATAATATTAGTTTCACGTAAATGAATACTCGTGAAAGTCTTACATGTCATTAACTTTTATGTAAATTGATTTTTGCGTGTGATTTTAATATTAAAATGAAACACTTTATCCTTCTTCATTTTAAATACTTGAATGAAGTTATAATTGTAAACAAAGTAACGTATTTATCATTAAAAATGGAACAACAGATAAAGCATTTTTAATTTTTTTGTAGTTCAATTCAATCTTCAATTTTAAAAAATATTCTATCTAGTTCTATACGAATTTATTTATAAAAATAAATAAACCTCATGTTTCTTTTACAAATATAAAACAAAAGAAAGGAAAAAACTAATAAAAATAACATGGTAAATTTGACAGTATACTGACATAATTTTTTATACTGAAGACCAAAAAAATGTTATTGTTACAATAATTTTGTTTATTTTTTATTTATTTTAGCATGCTTTCGGTAATCAGCCATTATTTTGAAACAATCTATGTATGTGAAAAACCAATATCAATAATAATATAGGACAATGATATTTAAACTGAATTTCATTATCTAAAATTTATGGGACATGACAAAATTTTCCGATTCAAATGTTGGCACTCTTCACTGGTATTTGAAAACTCACAAATCTAGTTTTCCGACATCGCCGGGGACGGCCATGATGGTTTCAGGAACATTTGCTCTTGAAAGCACGGTGAATTAAGCACTGAAATACAATATAATAAAGTTCAAGTATTATGAAACTTGTTACATTCGCAGCGAAGATATTTGCATTTTATTCTTTGTTTTCTGGAAAGTTATACGTCTCAATATAGTTCTTGAAATTTATGATCTTACAAAATACTGACATAAACGAATGTTCACTTGTAATTTAATAAGAAATTATTTTTCTTTTCATAGGTTAATGGCATGTTCAGATTCATTTAATTTAATATGAAAAATAAACTATCAAACATTTAAAATTTATTTGAATTATTTCACCATTAATAGAAAATATATTTTTGTAGTCAGTGGTGGCCTAGTGGCTAAGAGGCCCGCCTCTCAAGCTCGAGGACGCGGGTTCGATCCTGGCCCGGGCAAGTACCAATGTGATTTTTCTGAGTCATATGTGCTTTCTAATAGTATTTAGACATCACTGATTAATGTTGATTCCCAAAGACGGTTGATGTCAGGCAGGCGGCCGGTCGTAAAAACAAATAGCCAAAACAATTCACAACATTCAAGGCAGACCCTAGCTAT